GTTACTGGCCAATAAATAACAAAGTCGTTAAATTTACGCGTGATATTTGGTTGAAGTGTCGTGATTGACGGGGCCGAGATGTGCGATTATGTGTGTATTAGGTATGCGGTGCGTGATGAGAACACAATTTGTGCACTAAATTTGAAATTCGAGAAAGTGTCGATTTATATTACAAATCCGTAGAAAAAATTGACCATAAAAAATATTACTGAGCGTATATATTATTATAAACACTCCTGCATACTTAAAAAGCAAAAAATATATTTAAAGCGATTATAACTTTTCTGTTTTTTTATCGTGCATAATGAATAAAATATGCAATTCTATATTATCTCAAGGTGCACACAAAAATATTATGGATTATTCATTTCACCGGATTTTTTCCGCTCCAGTGATTTTTTTCTGCATGTGTGATCTCTAAGTTCTAACATAATATAAACGATAAGGCATTGTATTAATATATAAAATGTTTATACTTAAATGTCCATTTAAATTGTGTTAAGACAAAATACAAACGAAAACAAAAATATAATATTTTGTATATCCTATTGAGTGAAAAATTGTCCAGCTTAAAATATTTACTTCCTTATTAAGTAACTGACATAATGTCTGATTTAAAACATTTTTTGTTGGGAATAGAAAATGATGTATATGTAAATATTGTACAATTGAATTAATGCATAAAGTTCAAGTGTATTTAATTTAAGAAAAATAAACAAAACTGAGAGGAAGATTTAAAACCAAAATTTGATAATAAATAATAATGTTGACTGTACAGAATATCTTGAAAATATAAAGCTGACATTTTAACAAAATTACCCAATAAAATAAAATAAACTCATTTATTTGTCAATCATTTAAAAAAAAAATATTGAACATCAAACTACAGGTACTTGACATAGAATGATAATAATATTTCCTATACAATTTTAGCCAATACAAATAATAATTAATATGATTTGGTATAAGATGGTAAAATTGGAATTATAATAAACTGATGTATAAATATATATGTTATACCTATATCGTTTTATTATATTAGGTATACAATATTATATAGTTACGCCGATAATGTTCAATATTCTATGCTACTTAAAATCAAAATTTTCCAAGATGATAATTTTCGTTTTGTTTTATTATAGTTAAAATATATTGAATGTATAATACTTATCATTAAATAATATAATAATATATATTTATTTTATTTTGGAATTACAGAACTGTAATTACATAAATAAGTACATATAACTATTGTATATTATGTCATTAAAATTGCGTTACACGAATCGAGGGAACAAACTGAAATCATATGCATATAAGAATACTGAATGACACAAATTAAAATATTTTCAGAGGTACACGAGTACACTAGTACACGACTATAGTGTCTTCCAATTGAACAAAACGGTATTTTTTTCTATAGTTACACACTTACACTTGACTTTCGGTTGGCTGATGAGTGATGACATCATTGAACCAAGTATTTAGTGGCTGTATGTTATTGAAACGTTGGTCAAGTCTGTACATTGTCACTGTGTCAAATTTTTCGTTATTTTATTATCATGTACTTTTTTTTTTTTTTTGTCTAAATAGAAGACGATTTTTAATTATATTGTGTGCAGGAACAATCGAACGTGGTCCTCTGAAACAAACGTCGTCCTAGTTTTGCAATTCCACCACGACTATGTCCATTCACAACGGTAATAAAAATTATTGTCCTTTTTTACTTACTAAATATGAAGTTGTTATTATTTTTATGGACACGTTACACTTAACGGCTCAGTAATTTTAGGTTTTTTTTTTGTTTTTAACAATAATTTTTTTCTTAAATCCGATATATATGATATTATTTTTTAAATATGAAATGATATGATATTTCAAAATATGGTCCATGATTTGCAACAAATAAATAAAAAAAAAACGTACCATCTTGGTCTAGACTTTTTTATGATGAACGCAGAGCGTAGGCGGTAAAATGTGTACGTGTCGATAAATGCGGCGTTATAAATATTATATCTGTACGCGCATAATATATAATAAACGTTGTATATAGGTAGTAAAGTTCCGTATTTTATCCATTTTTTTTTCTGTTGTCAGTGATAAAATATATTTTACACTTTATGTGTACTCCGTTAAATCGAACAAACCGTTAATGGGATAAAAACAAATGGACTCATCGGGGAATCTATATAGTGGAACACGCATAGGCCGCCATGTCGCGGCCAAATAATCAGTCAACCTCGCCGCACATTATCGGAAAAATTAACGGAGCTAATTATAATAAAAACTAATAAGTTCGTTAAACTCGTTGGTTCACGGTTTCGAGTGTGGTGAGTGGTGACATAACTGAACAAAATATGCACGAGAGTAAAATATAATTGCGATCGCTGCGATCGATGACGAGTTTCAATCAGCGTTCACTCGGTTATAGCTAGGCCAGATGACAAGTAGCACGCACACATCGCAAATCGCAATAATGGATTCGCAACTCGAGTTCACACGTTTTACTCCCAATACATCATTCTTAAAATATTAAAACGCGAAAACCATACATATATTATGCTGTGTATTACAATAGAGCGCGTAATATAAATTTATGTGCGTGATGGCGATTGGCAGTACGCATTATGCATACCCTACAGAATATAGACGAATAGTCAAAAATAATTCATCGTCTATGGACTATAATATAGCGCATTAATATGAACAACGAGTATTATAGGTATTTAGAGTGTACCTACATACCACATGCGACTCCTCGACATGCCATCTGTGGCTCTTTGGAAAATGCATCAATTCCTATGATAGGACCAGTAAAATATAAATTTAAAAAAATGATTATCATATTTTTTATATATATATTAAGGTATTATTTATTATACATATTTTATTTTTCATATATTTTTGAATATGAACTTTATTAAAAATAAATTAGGAAGCCAACCGAATGATATCGGCCTTGATACCTGTTAGAAGTTTAATTACAAAATTCAACTACAGATTACTCTCCAGTCTCCTGCAGATTTGAATAAGCTGTTCACAGAAATACAGTGTCAAAAATCCCACTAATTAAGCAAATAAGTTTTTTTTATTTGTGTGTATTATTGTGTCTAATTAAATAATATATCATATGTGTTCAAACAATAATACTAATAATAATGTAATAATGCGTAATAATAATGTATTGTTAGGAAATAAAGTTTTTCTACATTTTAGACTTATTTTCATCTTTTTGAAGTCTACCAATTCTCAATGAAATTTCTTAGTAAAATTTACTATTTGTTTTTTGTGCTATGATATATTATTTTATGTTAACCATAGCGGCTCTTTAAAAATCATGATTTTGCAATTTTTTTTAAAAATGGCTCATCTTTTACAAGAAAAGGTATACGAAATCCCGAGCTCTGGTATATAGTACATATATACTTGCAATCAGTGACGTCATTTCAATGATAACAACTTTAGGAATAGAAGTGGGGAAGCTCAGTTGAATTTCAAAACCGGGGTTGTTAATCAATTCCAACAGTCCCCCCATCTGAATGTGTCTTATGTGATTATAATGATTATATGCTTATATTACATGTGTGAAATGCATATATTATAACACCATAAACTATTTAAGAAAATATACAGTGGCAACAGTATTAATAGCTATATTACAGGACTTTTTAAATTATATATAATTATATTTTGTTCACCACATTTTTAGATTTTTCTGAATTAATCTGTCACCATTGATTTCTCCACATATTTAAAGTGTTTAAAATTTTAAATGTATTTAGTGACAATATAAATGTATAATGCACCAAGTGCCTATTAATTATTAACATATTTTTATGTTAAACGAATATTGTTAAATTGATAGCAACATTAGAATATTACATTCATAGAGTGCATCAAAATATCTTTTGAAGATTTTTACTCAGGGTAAATAAGGGTTAACTTTTAACTGGGAAATTAACATAAAGAGTTTAAAAATATAGTTAACTTGCCCAGTCTTGATTAGTCAATTATACCTACCATTTTATTAAGTACTTATGTTAAACAAGAATTGAGTGAAAACATAGCTATGTTATTTAGCATTATGTATTCGTGAACATATAGTATGTGAACAACTACTGATTCGTTAGGTTGGATTTTGCAGTCTATTAAAACAGACGAAATGAATACCTATACAGACAAACATTTGAAAACAAACAAAAAAATAAATAAATAATACATTGCAAAGTACGGATCCGCTTTGCGAAATATAAGAGTATACCATATTATACTGTATAAACTAAAAATTAAGTATTTTTATGATAATTCCAGATAGAATATTATCCTATTTCGATTTTCGATGAATAATTATATGTTTCTGAAATTTATATAGAAAAACATTTGTCATCCAAAAAAGGATTTATTGTAGGGACTTAAAAAGCCAATAATGATTTTGTGCACTGTAATAATATGTGACATTAATGTCCACGTTAATATATTATAATAATATATACTAACAGCGATGATAATAATGTGAAAAATTCTGATTTCCAATAACCATCGCATCGATTTGAAATCGTGTGACACGATTTTTTACCGCACACTCGTATTTGGTTCAATTAATTTTCCCAATATTATATATTGGCAATATACCTATAATATACACGCATACGTAAAAATTATATTGTTTGACCCAAATAACTTATTATTATATATTAAAGGTATATATATTATGCACTGCATACAGTAATATTATACGTTTTATTATATTGTCATCGTCGGCGGTGCAGAAGACGTGAAAAAAAAAACCGAATCCGTCCATCCGTCCGCGGCCACTGCCGCCGCCGCGGAACACATCGTTAAATTAATATTTATAAAAAGTATCGTGAAGAGAAAAAATAAAAAATGTTTGCGGCGCTCGCTGCCGATATCATTATACACTCGGAAAACCGCGGAGTGTCGGCGTGTTGCGCGGGTGGGGAGGGTCCGAGCGACGGCGTTGTTGTAGTGCTCGCCTGGACGACTGTACATCGGCACAGTCGTCCGGTAACGATATCACGTGGAACAATTGCGCGGGAGTTCCGACACTTGGGCCGTCGTAGTTATATTATACTATTATTTGTATACCTGTTTATGTTATAGTCTCCGGTCGTCTATATAGTAGTGTACAAGCGGTTTTTATTTTTCGTATTTTACTCTGCGTCGTCCGTCGATACGAGTGAAACACCTATAAAGTATTACATAATATATTAGAATTCAATTCTGTTTTTAAATTTTTTTCGCTACACGATATACTTGGCATACGTAAACACGTCGGATCGCTTTTGATTCGATTTTACATCAGATTAATACGAGACAATATTACTGACTGCATCGGGCACTTGGATCGCTCCGACATACACACCGCGCACGAGCGGTAAGTACCTACGAATTATTGACGTTATTGCATTACGATGGTGTATTATTATAGGATGTTTAACTTCATCACCCACCGTTCAAGTCTAATTCACGTCCACGTCCATACTACCCGTAAATACAATATTATTATAGGTCGTGCCGGAACTACTCTACACACTACACCATAATAATATTTAGAATAAATAATACACCATACACCATGTATAAAAGTACACAAATAATTTTTCTTCTTACGATGCGTGATTAGAGATACCTAGGTGAAAACAAAAATAAATAGTACTAGGTACTATGAAAAATGTGACATTCATGTGGGATTTAATAATGAATTTAATAATTCGGAAACTTGAAAAAAAAAACACTTTTCCATTGCCTAATCATTATTAGTTTCTGTATTCAATAACTATTTTTATACTAATATCACCTATATTACATAATATATATTACTATATTATATATTTATATATTACTCTATAATACATCATATTATTATTTAGTATTGTTATTCCGTCGTTATTGTTACGTATTGTATGTTAAAAAACGTGTTTCAACAATGTTTACTTTTAAATTCTTTTCAATACTAATCAAAAGAAAATAATATTATTTGTGTACATTTAAACATATTTGATGATACTTAATAAAAAATTCTGTTTATTAAAAACAAAAATACAATTTAAAGCTATAAAATATTAATACTTTAATGTATGTTGTACATTTTAGTTTTTAAATGAATCTTATACACGATGTGCATCAAAGTATATTTGTGCATGCATATTGTTAGAGAAACTTCTTCTCACGAATCCAGTTCGTATAGCATACATTAATAGTGTTAGGAAACTCAGATATAATTGGTTTAAAATAATTTACCAAAGTACACTTTTTTATTTCTTTTAATAGTACGAATAGCTTTAGTGCTTATCTAATTTTTTATAAATGGTTGTGCTTTTTTAGCTATTTGAACCATGAGGTGTATTATATTATAAATTTTAATTAAAATTATTTAAGTAAATTTAGAATAATAGTAATAGACAATTAATAATACGTGTCACCTAGCTGCAGGTAGTATGCACTATAAATTATAATGATATGTATAATTCCTAATACTAAGCAAGGATCATTTTAGCTAACTACATAAATATTTTTACAAGTAGGCCGTTTTTTTATGATCATATTACTCTAAAACTTTCTGTTGTTAAATTGCACATAAAATTCGTGAAAGCAGATGCTTGATTATTTTCTCACATATAGGTCTTAAGAGAATCTTTTTTCAATCTTTGTATAACAAATGTATCATTTCGAATTAGAAATTCAATTATACATTTATACAATATAATGCTATAGTCGAGTATTGGGTTAACTACCTCAGGGGCACTGAATTATATACAAATGAGCATCATGTTTAACTACGAGTAGTAAATCGTATTTAGTTTTTACTGTCAGTCATAAGTCGTAAAATTCCCTCTAAGCCCATTAACAATTTCTAACTATATATTTGTAATATATATATTGTCAAAATAGGTACCTAATAATCAAATGTTAACAATACTTTAATATAATTACAATATTATTAAGTAGAAGTATAATTTAATGTACCGTTAAAAATAATAAAATCTATTTATGAATACATCGTAGTTCGCGACTACTATGTATTTCTTTTAATAATATGTACAAATCGAGTTTATATTTTTTTTTTCATTTATAATGTTAAACGTTCGAAACACCCAAGCAATGAATATATACTGTATAATAATACTGTATAGTGTATAAAATATTATATGTATATATATTCATATTATACAAATATACAACTGTACACGCTGCAGGAAATCGGTAAAACGGCAGAAAAGCGAAAGCATATTACCGTGAAAATATATACAAAAAAAAAATGTAATCTAATTATTATGCTCGTCGTCCACACGCGTAAAATGAACGAAAATTATACAGTTTATAGTTTTAAAAACTAGCGTATTTTAAATACAAGCCACCGACATTGAATTCCTGAAAACACAACGAGCCCGTGTTATATACATACACAGTACACACACTAAGTAGGTTGAATGGAAAACACAATGTTTTTACTCGGTGAATTGGAATCGTTACGAAGTAGGTTGTCCGCGGCAGTTGTAAAATACGCACAACAATAATAGTAATTTAATTAAATCGTTTGGCGGCTGTTGTCATTTTTTTCACACTATAGTATTTTGGTAGAAACGATGATTGTCTCGTCCATAGAGCAATAGTCCCTTTCAACGTGGTCCACAGTCGTACGCAGTAAAACGACACGATGAGATACCTACTCGGCTATACGTCATGATATTCTTACAATACCTACCAACCGTCATTATATTATGTACATTTTATAATAATACGTAGTTAATTATTACACGAACACTATAAAAGGTTAATATTTTTTGAGGTAGAATCTCGGAGTTCAAATAGGTGCTGTTTCGGCTCAGCTCAACGACATCATAATGGTAAAGGTATAACGCGCGATCAGCAGCCGACGACGGTTTCGGCTTTAGAACAAGCAATAGATGCAGATATCCCAAAGTTGTTTCACAACGATTGTATAGTATTATATAATATCGATTTTTAATTTTTCCGAACGTTCTATAGGGTCATAATTTTAATGTGCGTGCGCCCAGAAACATTTCATATAGATACATAGTTTTACAACCGCTTTAGATGCGTAGGCGGAAGCGCTCGTAACTCGCTAGTCTATGACTTGTAACGATGAAGCGGAAAATGGGTTAAATAGGTTGGTTTGCAAAACCAACAAATGTTAGTCTCTATTTACAAAACAAATAATAGTCAGAAGACTATCTACGACGCCGTAGGAAGCGGTCACGGCAAATGGCGTGTAAACGTTCGTCCGCCGCCACAATAATATTGTTACGCTTGTAAAACCTAATAAATAAGAATTATTTCGTTTCGTACTCTAGCGCATCCGAAGTTTACCGAGTAGAAATATGAATAGTTCGCGAGCGACTGCAAAAGGGTTTCAAATTTGAACCAAGTCGTTGACATGACGTGTGCGCCCGTATAAAATGATTGATATTGTTAATATATTATTCAGTGATCGTCCGTCGAATAAAAAAAGCGACCCATCCGTGTCTGAGTGCCGCTTCGACCGACATTCAAATTCGCGAAAACCCATAGCACGTACGACCGATTTTATAATTAATTCCTATCGAGAGTATACTACTTTATTCATATATATTATATACCTAGGTTTGTATATTGTTTTGGTGACCGCGACGATGACGGCGCTGGTGGTTGGTTTTGGTAGTCGGAAATAACAGGGAAATTTCTCGAGAAAAAAATCTGGTTCTTATTTCTCGCACTGGGTCAATGTTGTCAATGCAGTCGGTTTATTGTGTTTCTACGTATATATATTTTAATACGACGTTATTTTATTAGTACCTATACCTAAACCCAATTATATGTTACTTTCAGTTTTTTTTTTGTATAGGTATAAATGTATAATTAGTCAAATACACACGAGTAGGTGGGTTATAATAATATATAGGCACTGTAAAAAAGAGAATGTTTTTATTTATATTATTGAAATCCGTTTAAGACAATAAATAATAAAATTATGTCCAGTTGTGTGTATTTTATTATGCGGGATATATTACACATTTTTTTATATTTAGACGTATTACTGTTAGCCGAATAGATAGTTATCGAGATTCACATTTGTAATTCTAAGTATAATTGATGTACTCGTGTATATAGAATTTTGTACACGCGTTCCGCTTTAAATCCTCTTACAATAATGACCGATGGGCGACGAATGATATAAAAGAAAAGTACCGTTCAACGAGTTTTACAAGAGAGATTTAATTCTTCGATTTTTTTTACTTGTGTATATAGAAATATTTTGTACCCCATGTATTATTATAATTTGAATTCTTGGAAGAAAATAAATAGTTTAATATACAAAATATATTTTATTAGGTATGCGTAATTCCTATTATAAGGCAAAATACACGCATACCGTATAAAAAAAGTTTTATATGTTCGATGCTGGTCATTCAAATGTTAAACGTTGTCCAACTATATAAATCATAGTAATGTATGGTAGATATAACAAGATCAACGGATTTATTAAACGTCTTGTGAAAAACCGTTTAAGGTTTTTTTTAGAAAAGAAAACGTATATTTTATTTTTTTATTTTTACTAAAAATCTTTTTATAGATTACTAAGCCCAGTAGGTACCTATATACACCCAGTGTCAAGTTTATTTGTCAAAGATTGCAATAACTCGTGTCTTGCACGTCATTGCTACATCGTACGAGTGCGAAATAAATTTGCATAAAACAATAAACCAGAATACGCAGTGCAATGATATTGTATTTTGTACCTAAAATAATATATCCTATAAGAAAGCTGCATATCATACAGTATTTGCATGAAAACAAATGTTGACTAGCACGTTTACAGTCCTGCGCGAATGAAGGTGTACCCTCAATTTGTTTATTAGTGTATTTATTTTCGCGACAAAAAAACCACATTCGATAATCCGATCGACAAACAAGGTAAAAAACCGTATAAAAAAATATTGACCGACATAATAATATCATTGATGTGCGAATAGCGAACTTTACAGGCTTCCCATGACACTTGTAAAATGTACACACAAATCGTATAATTTTATTGAGGGCGCTCAAGAATACCTAGTGAAATGTTTAGAGTCCTAGATCCACTCCCCTGGAACCGTTCAGACATTCTTAAAATTTACATTGACGTAACTCAAAACTTTTAATGTTCATTAGTATTATTTTCTGGCTGTAAATATAAGTCCTTTGGTAAGCGTATGTTTGGGCCGACCCAAATTCCAATTTTAGATATTTTTGCAGGGTTTTCAACAGGTCTATCCATTCTTTTTCTATAACCCCCTAAAAATCATATTTATATGCGACTTACGCATGCACATCAGTTAACTATGAAATTAAAAACTAGAAAAAAACTTTTACATCAAGATAAATGGCACCTAG